GGGGGAGGGTCGGTAGGTTGCTAGCAGGTTCTGTACACGCGCAGTGAGGTGACATCACCACCACCACTACCATCATGATGATGATGATGATGATCACCATCACCATGATGATTTAACATCATCACCATCACCATCATCATTATCACCATCACCACCATTATCATCATTATCATTATCATCGTCATTATCGCTACATCCAGCAAGGGTTTGGGTCCCTAGCTCGCCGTGATGGAGCTCCGCCCCGGTGTGTTAATGGATGCGCGGCGCGCAGATCATCAAACACACATGGATATCGTACAGTACGGCATCTCGCCACTTGTCGTTGCACTACTACAACTATTACTTCGCACGCACACGACATTCTCGGTTCTTGCGGCCCGACGTACTTTTATTTCTGACGTACCTGCCCATGGTGCAGGACGGGTCGGCATACTCGTCGGGGTCCCCTGCACGGCCCGAGTGTTGCAGACCAAAGTTGTGGCCCATTTCGTGCATGTAGGTGGTCAGGTCGCGGGCGTACGCGCCGTTTATCCAGCTGAAGCAGCGACTGCCGGAACAGCCAACACTGCCCATACCTGGGGGTTGGAGACGCCGCGGTTCCATGGGGCGGTGTTTCATTACGGGGAAGAAGCGGTGTGCGGAGAAGCAACCACACAGGGGGGCCCACCTGTACGATGAACTAAATGCACTATATGAACGATGTCTATATATGAACGAATGTGCTGGGTGAACATTTCGCTAGTTGGGTACACTTGCATCCGTAGCTAGCATATTCGAGAAACACCCCCCCCTCTTTTGAGGGTGTACATGCGGCTATGTGGTCTGAGGACACGCGAGGACCCGGCTTAAGTCTATCATCAGCCGACCGCCGTAACCTTTTCCCACTTTCCCCCGACACCATCCCCCCCCCCTTACCCCTCCCCCCCCCACACACCCACCCACCCCACACACACCACCGCGTACATGCGGTAGATGCGGTAGATGCAGCTAACTGCTCCACCTGCGGGGGCCCCTCCGTGCGCTGTGCAAGCATTCAACAACAAAACCCACTCGCACCTGCCCAGCTGCAGCTATTGTCCACTTCAGCCGGCAGTACGGCGATTCGCTGTTTGACGCCGGAGATGTCTTGGCGGAGTGTGTTTTGCACGTAACTTTCTGCAAGGCTCATCATGAGGTACAAATCCTGCATGCGTGTGTGAACGCGTGTGTGAACGCGTGTGCGAATGCGTGTGTGAACGCGTGTGTGAACGCGTGTGTGAATGCGTGTGTGAACGCGTGTGTGAACGCGTGTGTGAATGCGTGTGTGAATGCGTGTGTGAACGCGTGTGTGAACGCGTGTGTGAATGCGTGTGTGAATGCGTGTGTGAACGCGTGTGCGAATGCGTGTGTGAATGCGCATGTGCAAAAGGAAGTAAGCAGTTGAGGGATCGCGGGGGTCGGGGAGCCTCGTGTCTGGCAGGGGTCGATTAAAGCGGGCGCGGGAGAGGGGAACTGTGCCACTGTCCGAGCAGCTGCTGGGCAGGTTTAGCTCTGAATGTAATCACTCCTATTGCCATGTGCCGAGCAAGACCGTGATGCAGGCGTCGGATTCGAACGTATGCACCGACATAAGTTGACTCACCGAAGTACCGCACTGCGTCCTGAGGTCGTACTCCCTGTCGTACCATTTCCCGTTGCATGGAATCTGCATATATGCATATATACAGCACGCAAGTAGCAGCAATTTATATAATTTAACATCTGAATCGCGAAAAAATCAGTTATGTGGTTGCACAAGCTTTTAGCCCCCGGACGCCAGCCCTGCCTGGTGTCACTGTTGGTATTCCTGCCCCAACCCACCCCGCAACACGTGCACGCGCACACACACACACACACACACACACACACACAAAATAACACGTCACCAGCTATGTTCCCCTCTTCACCGACACACACACACACATACACACACACACAAACACACACATACAGGCACCTCGTGCATTCACTCACCGGCACCTCGAAAATGAGCTGACTGGACGCAGACATGCGTGCGGCGCCCCTGGAGCAGTAGTTCCAGTAATCCTCCATGGTTCTGGAGCCGCCGGGGCCCGTGGCGGCATTATCGTCATTGAGCCACATGGACCGGAACGCCTGCGTGTCGAGGGCTGGCCTCCAGTTGCAAAAGCTGAGCAGGAAGACAACGCTGGAGACGGTCCCGCTGCCGATACCGGCGCCGGGCCCGTCTTTGCCGGCGCCCTCATCAGCCAGTCCCAGGACCTCAACTGAGATTACACCACTACCTGCTACTGCTACTGCTGCTGCAGCTGCTGCTGCTGGCCGCGTGGCGCTACTGCTACTATTGCCGGCTGCGAAACCCCCGAAACCACCACTTCCGGGCGCTTGCAGCAGATTCCGATTTCGACGGCGGTCTGCATTGGCAACACCCGGTGAGAGAAGTTCCAGAGGCTTTGGCGGCGGCGTGTTGGCAGTTGCGGCAGTTGTGGCAGAAGCTGTAGCAGCAGCAAGAGGAGGAGGAGGGGTGGCGGCTGTGTTGCGGTCGTTTTCCTGGCCTGGGCGAAGGAGCACGCGGACCAGATAGCCGGAGTAGCGGAGGGCCTCCGTGTCGCCCATGTTGGTGATGGCGGTGACCTGGCCGCCGGGCTCCCTCAGGTACACACTAGGGCTGCTGGTGTGGGAGGTGAGCACGTCGAATTCCCCTAAAGTAGGGGAACACGCATGTGTCACGGAAGGTTAGTTGGTTGGTCAGTAGTTGGTTGGTTGGTTGATGTGAGTTCGAATGTAGGTACCGTACGGCTTTCGTTGATGGCATGCTGAGGGATGTGTGGGTGGTAGCTGACGAGGAGGACGTTGGGGGGTGGTATGATATATCCGCCACAAAATTACGGAACTTAGTTACGGAACTTAAGGCAAATGCGTTGCTGAAGAGAAGGATGGGAGAGGAGGGGGAATGTGTTTCCCGTTAACTCATTGTTGGAAACGGACTTGTGGGGGGTTGTCAAATGACGCCGCTTCGCCGTCGGGTGGAGCGGGCAGTTAGGAAGGTGGTTAGGAAGGTACGGTGTCGGAAGTTGTCAGGACTCTTCGGGATGCGCTCGTTGGTCACGAACAGGGTTGGGCCGGTTGCCACAGTCAACCATCACACTCCGTGCGCAATATACATCTCCCTTAGAAGCATAAAACGCAAAAAAGGGGGACAATTAGCTTTAAAGTAATGTGGGACGCTAATTTTTTTGTACATGACGTACTTTTATGTATACCACACGAGACTTTAAAATTCCACAATAATTAGGGCTGCATCCTCACCTTCAACAGTTAGGAACGGCGCTTCCGCCGACTTTTGCATGCGCAGCAGCGGTGGTGGCGCCGCTGGCGGTTGCGATGGAGTTGCTGTAACGGCGCTGCTGCTGGTGCTGGTGGGCGCCGATGGTGGCCCCCAGGGCCGTGGGGGCGGACGCTGCCGGTAAGGTTGTCGGGGCCAACGAGGGACCAGGGGGTTGCGCAACACTGATGGTGGAGATGGTGACGGAGGTGACGGTGGAGGTGATGGTGGAGATGATGGTGGAGGTGATGGTGGAGGTGATGGTGGAGGTGATGGTGGAGGTGATGGTGGAGGTGATGGTGGAGGTGATCGTGATGGTGCAGGTCGCCTGCCTTGAACTTGGCAATGCGGCACAACCAGCGTCCCTAAACAGAGTAAGGCGAAAGCGAGGGAAGCCGGACGCGTCGATCTGCAGGCCATCCGCTGCTGGTCGAACCGGGCAGCAGCGGCGCGTTTGTTTGCAGATGGGCTGACGTGAAAAGAATTTTTGTCCGTGCTGACAGGCGAGTGTAAATTTCCTTGCAGGCCGGCGGTTTGACGAGGTGTATGCATATCAGGCGACACTACGGACGCGCGGAAGTAGTCCCCCTGACTTTATGTTTAGCAAATCGCAGAATCGGCAAGGGCGTACCAAATCAAACGTGTTCGCGTGTACGTACCGAAGATTTCTGGCAATATCCTCGCTGGGCCTTTCCTATTTCACGATGATTTGAGGCAGGCAATGTCAGTTTATAAATCAGAGTACGGCAGGGGCACCTGTTGGCCTTCTACCTGCCCGCCCGCCGCTTGCGACTGTCCGCGTTCCGTTCGTTGCAACCCCTGACTGCACTTTAGTACGACCATCTGTCCTCGTCTAATTTCCTTATAATCCCATAATATTTATGTCATAATTTTTATCGCTCCTCACGTTGTAAATAAAGCTTATAGAGGTTCGACGGGCAGGACTTTTATTGAACTTATGAAAAGCGTTCTCCGTTGATGCTGCCGTCAGAGCATCAGCTCTGGCAGCCGTTGCCGCACAGCTGCGGCCGTTCCCGCATGCCGGAGCCGACGCATATGAATCGCAATTTAGTATGCATAATGTTTTTGTTAAATGAATTACTCTTGTACTATCCGTATAGAAGTCGAATCTGAGAGCCGGCTTGGGCGTTTACCTTCGCACCTGATGCCTCTCCGTCTGCCTCAGCATCCGATGGGCGCAACACCTAGCCCAAGCCCTAGCCCTACACCTCCACCGCGCGCTCTGCCTGCCGCCATGCACCCTCCCGGTAACCACATGCTCTCCCAGCCCTACACGCAGCCCCACACACTCTCCCTGTCTCCACACACTCTCCCTGTCTCCACACACTCTCCCTGCGCCCACATGTTCTCCCATCCCATGTGTTCCCCCAACCCCCATGCTTTCTTCCCCCAAACTCCATGCTCTCATCCCGATCCCCACTCTCTCCACCCCATCCCCGTTCTCCCTCAACCCCAAACCCCATGCCGACCGCCCAACCCCAACTCTCACGCTTCCCGCCCGATGCCAAGCTCCCCGCTTCCCACCAATTACAAACCCCATGCTCTGCACCAACCACAACCTCAACTATGTCCCCCCTCCCAACCCCATGCTACCCCTTGACCCCAACCCTCTTCCATCCCCTCCCCAAATAACGCCCGTGTCCCAATCCGGCCCTAACACCCATGCGTCCCCCAACCCCAAGCCCTATATTCCCCCTCTATAAAAGGCCGGAAATGCTAGTACGGAAGTCGCAGGGAAGGTCCACCGGCTCCGCACCCGTGGTGTAACACATGAGAGGTGAAAATAGGCATGACGTCGTAACGGTTCCATAGATGTTCCCAATGCAGTCATATGGCTAATGCATAGATGAGAATGTAAAATTCAATAGTTGCAAGATATGGGATTCGACCTGCCTACCTCAGAAATACTACTTCACCGATATCCTACCAAGAAGGCGGATTAGGCATTAAATGCACTACAGTTTACCATATAATATCTATAGCATAGACACAAATTAAAGATGTCGTACATTTCGGGATACAATCGGGGATGTCGTACATTTCGGGATACAAATCCCGAAATGTTCGACATCAGCAGCCACAGCAGCATCAGTAGCATGATATTTAATATGTAGGTATAAACGCAATAGATATTACACAATTGTGGGCTTTCGTTACATATTAATTACTTAGCATGACAAATCTCAACCATGGCAACCACCAGTACTGCTCCAGCACGTTTTCGCGACTTATATAAATGTACAACCATTAAAGCTTCTTAGAAGTTGTACAGATAATGTATGAAGGAGGTCTTATCATTTGCTTCAGTTACGAATTCTGACGCAGCGCGACATCGCCAGTACAGGTGAATGCTATGTACTCCCAACACATGCGCGGCAAAGAATGTAGCACCAAGCGTCTAAAGGAGCGAAGGCGACGCGCACGGTCGTGCTCCGTGAATGCCGCCGGTACCTGAGCTCCGCACTGCACCCTTACGTGAACCCCCCTGGGGGCTGGGGGAGCGCCTGGGTGGGGCTGGTGGAGCGCCTGGGTGGGGCTGGTGGAGCGCCTGGTGGGCGCTGGGGGAGCGCCTGGGTGGGCCCTGGTGGAGCACCTGGGTGGGGATGGGGGAGCGCCTGGGTGGGCCCTGGTGGAGCACCTGGGTGGGCCCTGGTGGAGCACCTGGGTGGGGCTGGTGGAGCGCCTGGGTGGGGATGGGGGAGCGTCTGTTGGGGCCTCTGGAGTGGTGGAGCGCCTGGGGGCTGGGGGACCACCTGGGATCTTTTTTGGTA